TGGCTCAGCAGTGCTACATGTGAAAAGGGATTAGTGTTGATCATATGCTGAACGTGACCCAGCAGTGTGATGCTGCAGTAAAGAAGGCAAATGCTGTTATAGCCAGCATTAATAGATGCACCGTTTCCAAGTTGAGGGAAATAACAGGGCCACTATATTCTGGGCTGGTCAGGCCTCATCTAGAGGAATGCATTCAGTTTTGGGCATCTCACTGTAAGAAGGATATAGATAAGTTGGAGTAGGTTAGTAGGGACTGGTTGAATGGGTAAAGGAGGTAGTCAGTGCCTCCCTACAACAACATAGAGTTCCATCTTTCCTAAAGGAGGCAGTTGTGAGGTCTTTGTTAAAAAAGCCATCCCTGAATCCCATAATAATGAATAATTATTGGCCAGTGACCGACCTACCATTTTTGCGCAAGGTTTTAGAATGTGTGGTGGCTTCCCAACTCCAGGAGTTTCTGGATGAAACAGATTATCTAGATCCATTTCAATCTGATTCCAGGCCTGGCTATGGAACAGAGACAGCCTTGGTCGTCTTGGTGGATGACCTACGCAGGGAATTAGACAGGGGGAGTGTGTCCCTGTTGGTTCTGCTGGACCTCTCAGCAGTTTTCGATACCATTGATCATGGTATCCTTCTGGGCCACCTCTCTGGGATGGGACTTAGAGGTACTGTTTTACAGTGGCTATGCTCCTTCCTGGAGGGGCGAATCCAGAAGATGGTGTTAGGGGACTCCTGCTCGACCCCCTGGCCATTGGCCTCTGGGGTCCCCCAGGGTTCTGTGCTGTCTCATATGGTATTTAACATATACATGAAGCTGCTGGGAGAGATCGTTCGGAGTTTTGGGGTGTAGTGTCATCAATATGCCGATAACACTCTACTACTCCTTTCCAGCTCAATCCAAGGAGGCTGCCCTGGTCCTAAACCAGTGTCTGTCATCAGTAATGGACTGGGTGAGGGCAGACAAGTTGAAACTTAATCCAGATAAGACAGAGGTGCTCCTGGTCAGTTGGAAGGCAAATCAGGGAACAGAGATCCAGCCTGCGTTATGTGGGATCTCGCTTCCCCTGAAGATTCAGGTTTGCAGTTTGGGGGTATTCCTGGATTCAGCTGTGAACCTAGAGGTCCAGCTCCCTGCAGTGACCAGGAGTCCTTTTGCACATTTGAAACTTGTGCACCAACTGCGCTCATTCCTTGAGACGCTGGATCTGGCCTCAGTTATACATGCCTTAGTTACATCCCATTTGAACTACTGTAACATGCTCTACTTGGGGCTGCCTTTGAAGAGTGTTCAGAAACTTCAGCTGGTCCAAAGAGCTGCAGCCAGGCTGCTAACAGGGGCAGGTTACAATGATCATACAACATCCTGTTGAAATAGCTCCACTGGCTGCCAGTTTGTTTCCGGGTACAATTCAAAGTCCTGGTGATAACCTTTAAAGCCCTATATGGCTCAGGTCCAGGCTATTTGGCAGACCGTATCCCCCTCTATGAGCCAGCCGAGGCTCTGAGATCCTCAGGGGAGAACCTTCTTTCCATCCCACCAGCAACACAAGCACAGCTGGTGAGGACACAAGAGGTCCTTTTCTGTAGTTGCCCCTAGCCTGTGGAACTCCCTGCCCAAGGAGACCAGAATGGCTCTTTCTTTGATGGCCTTCTGCTGACAGATGAAAACCTTCCTTTTCAGACAGGCATTCAAAACAGAAAACTTTTAATGAACAGCCTGGGATACTACATTATTTTAAGTGAATTTTAAACATTTTAATATTCTTTTTTTATTTTATTGTAGTAGTTTAATTCTGTTTTTATGTATTATTTTTTATGTTTTTAATTGTATTGTGTGTGTTTTTTAAATGTTGTAAACCACCCTGAGTCCCAGTCCTGGGAGGACGGGATATCATCATCATCATCATCATCATCATCATCATCATCAATAACAGGTTCTAAGAAGGATAGCAAGGATAAGATGTATGGAGAACAAAATATATAAAAGTTGAAGGAGCTGTTTGGGAAGGTGTCAGAAGACCCAAAAGGTAGGGAAGGTTTGCTCAGTTCTCGCAAGTATATACACGTTAGAGATAAAACACCACTAACTTTTGTATGCAGGAGTCACAAACTTTGCTCTATAATCAATTTTTCTCTTTGAATATGCAAAATGTTGACAAGAAACAAAGCATGATGAAAAATTGCATGCAAATTGCATATGTCCCACATCTTTTTTAGGGGAGGGGAGGAAAGGAGAGGGGAGATTTTTTCCAGTTTGGGAATCCCACCCCTAAGGAAAACCTCCCGGTCCAAAAACATTGCAAGTAGGGCTGGTCCTTCTTGCTTTGATAGGACTTGGAGAGGTTTCACGAACAACATATGTTTTAGTTTTTATGACCAAGGACTTAGTATTACAGGTATCCCTCAATTAACAAAGTAAACCTGTAGACTTTTTCCTGCTGCCTCCCAAACCCAGAAGAGTCTGGATTTCTCACCAAACTCCAAGGAAAAGAAGGGACTCCTTTGCTGTGCTGCATTTCTGTATGGATGTTTAATTGTAAGTTATTAGGGGGAACCAGCAAGGCTACACAGCAAGGTAGAAATATTGTAAGTGGCTTACAGAATTAGAAATGTGGAAGCTTGTTATGAGAAAGCATCCATATTCTGGAAGTAATGCTGTGTTTAAGGATGAGGTGGGACTTAAAGTTGAGAAATAATTCCCAACCTTTCCAATACACAAAAATGGTTTCTAGATTCCTTCTCCTCTGTGACACCTCATCTCTTTACATATTTGGTGGGTTACTTCCATATGCCAAGTGATGGTCTCAAAGTTCCCAATGCCAGATTTACTGTTCTTCAGAAAAGCTCACCTATGCCAGCACAAACACCGACTAGGTCTCACAGATTGATGTATGTTTTTATCATTTTCCTTTAATTCCGCACATTTTGCTTCATCCATTTTAGAACACATGCATTGCTTTGTGTGTATTTTGTTCCTCAGAAATGCCTTGAAAACTCACCAAAGTATCAGTGCACAAGGCAAGGTGTGTTTCTTCTTGCAACACATTTTGGAAGATAGCTCTTTCTCTTCCTCTCTTCATCGGGATTATCCAGCCCAGGAGCATATCTTTTCATCCCTAAAAGACACACATGTTCCTTGAATTTCTTCACTGGAGCCATTATTTTTCATTTATCCCTGCAGGTATAAATGTGACTGTCCAGTGACTGTCCAGTTGTGTCTGACTGTGTGTGTGTGTGGGGGGGGGGGTTGTTCATCTCCATTACTAAGGGCCTTTGCAGACTGCCAGAAATAGTGCAAATTGAGTTCACTTTTAAGGGCTAGGGTTAGTGCTAGGGAATCATGAGAATTGTTTTTTTTTTTCTGAGGCATTGAGCCTTCTCTGTCAGAGAGCTCTGGTGCCACAATAAAATACAGCTCCCATGATTCCCTAACCCTAACCCTTAAAGTGGACTCAATTTGCACTATTTCTAGCAGTCTGCAAAGGCCCTAAGTTGAGGAAGCCAGCACTGTCAAAGATGACTCCATGATTGTGTGGCCAGCATGACTGCATCAAATGGTGCAGCCTTCCCAATGAAGTGATACCGATTTATCTACTTACATTTGCATGCTTTCGAACTGCTAGATTAGCAGAAGCTAGGATTAGTGAAGGGCGTTCACCCCATCATGCAGCACTTGGGCCTCGAACTGCCGATATGCCAACCTTGCGGTCATCAGAGTTAGCGTCTTAACTGCTAAGCCACCATGTCCCTACTATAGTATGGTCCCTTCATTTTCACCCAGGGGAGAGGACCGGGGGTTACAGGAATTTGCCTTGTACTTGTACATTTTATATGCTGCATAACTAAAACTGTGCCTCACCTGATTGGCAGCACCTCCACAAGTTTTCCTGTGAAGCTTGGACTGCTGTTGAGTGACAATCCTTCTCCCATTACATAAGAGAATATAATGTGCTGTAATTATTATCTGTGCATGGGGTGCAAACCCTACCTTCAAACTACTGGCTGGCCTGATTTCCGATCAGATGGAGCCCCTTGGGGAGAAGAGACAGCAATGCAGAGCATACACATTTATGGTATCCTACAAGGGCAGAGGTAGACAACTAGGAAGAAGAGAGGGGTCCCTCAGCCAGGCTGAAGCATATCTGATGCTACCAGACATAGTGTCTCATCACTTCTGGTTTCTTTTTCTGCTGTTTCTCAGCCTTTTTAGTGATTCTGAGGGGTTCGGGGATAGGTGAGCAGATTATGGGGCAAAACTGTTGCATTCAGACAGTTTTGACCCATTTGGAGAGTTTTGGGGGTAAGGAATCCTCCCAAGTACTAATTTTGGGGGGCCTGGGGGCTTTTGGAGGCTCGGGGGTGGGGGTGGTCACACTTCGGGGGCCCAACACTGTGTACGGGCAGAAGACCGCACTTTGCTCACCTATGCTTTAAGGGTATCAGTACAGCACACAAACTTTGTCTCTACCCGCATCCCTCTCATGGCAACTGGCATTCTATAAGCACAAGGCTAAATGTGCACTATGTATTACATTATCCATTGTGCAATAGCTAATTAAATCACAGACCACATAATTAAACACAAAGCCGAAGGAGGAGAAGCAGCCAATAATTAGGGCACTCCTAGGAAAGCTTGACAACACAGGAAAGCATTAGTCTAGGTCCTCCTGAATGCTTGATTCGTCACAGACTGAGGTGGAATGGTGTGCAGGGGTCCCTTCACACTACACAATTAGGAGCCCTTGTGGTGCAGTGGTTAAATGCCTATACTGCAGCCTCTCACTCCCAAACCACAAGGTTGTGGGTTCGATATCAGCCAGGGGCTCCAGGGTTGATTCAGCCTCGCATCCTTCGGAGATCGCTAAAATGAGTACCCAGCTTGTTGCAGGCAATTCGCTTACACATTGTAAACTGCTTAGGGAGTGCTAAAATGCACTGATAAGTGGTACAGAAATGTACTTGCTATTGATATTGCGCTATAAGTCCACTTTAAGAGAGCCAGCGTGGCATAATGGTTTGAGTGCTGGACTATGACTCTGCAGACCAGGGCTCAATTCCCTGCTCAGCCATGAAACCCAGTTGGGCAAGTCACATGCTCTCAGCCTCAGGGAAAGGCAATGGCAAACCTCCTCTGAACAAATCTTGCAAAGAAAACCCCATGGTAGTTTCACCTTAGGTCGGAAGCAACTTGAAAGCACGCAACAATAATTCTACTTCTATAGTTTCAGCTATGGATTTACAGTATAGGAAAGGTCATTTAGAATTGTCTGCCAGAGAAATCTAATAGACTCACCAAATTATGAACCCCAGGAGTCTATAGGATGCATCCATGTCAATTAAAGTGGAATCATAGTGCTGTTAACTGTATTATGTGAAAGGGCACCACAACTGTGGCAAGAAAACCCAACTCAATGACCAACAGGTCTCAGATCCTTCCAGAAAGGACCACCACAACATATGATAGATGCAGTTTGTACCTCATAAAAGGAGAGGGCTACCCCAAACACAGGGACTGATCCTCTTGTCATGTGAGACAAATATTTATTTGCAAGTATGAAACTCACTGGGTGACCTTGGGCAAGTCAGATGCTCTCAGCCTCAGGGGAAGGCAATGGCAAACCTATTCTGGACAAATCTTGCCAAGAAAACCTCATGATAGGTCTTTTTCAGCCAGAAATGACTTGAAGGCGCACAGCACACACATATTACTGGAAGATGATGGGAGAAGAGAAGCCTTCTGAGATAGCCTAATGAATTATGTCTGTGTTTCTGACACAGAAAGACATGTATATATTAGCAAGCAATCTGTAATTTTGTGAACCATGGGCACACAAGATACCCTCTTTATTATTACACATTAGGAAAAAGATGTATGATTTTTATGGATATTGGAAGCCAACAGATCCATCTAGATTCTTCTGGGACACTACAACCACATGGTCCACTATTGTGTGTGATTGGTTGCATATTCTCTTCACTCATTCAATGAGGCATCCTGGAGCTCCTTATGCAAGTGGGTCTTGTGAAAAGGCCAGGGATGCAGGGAGGTGGCTGATGTACCAGTTGGAGGCTGGACATCCACTCCCACATGAGCCGCCTTCAATACCAACACGATGTTGACACTGGCTTGGTGATGGTGATTTAGATCTTGGACTTGATATTTAATCAAGGTCACTGGCAACCAACAAGATGGTGGTACAGTGGCAGTAATGCAGTGATAAATTTTGAAGTGTGGGCCCTTTTAGTCACAGTCTCTAGGGCAGGGGTAGGCAACCTTTTTGAACCGGGGGCCGGGTTGCTGTCCCTCAGACAATTGGGGGGGCCGAAGCACCATAAATAAATAAATAAATAAATAAATATAATTTTTTATTTTTTTTAAAAAAAATATGCATGCACACTCTCTCAGCCCCAGAAAAACCATGGCAACCCCCCTGTGGAGATTTTGCCAAGAAAACCCCAAGAACAAGTAATAACAACAATAATCAATAGCATCATGGCGGGCGGCGACGGGGGCAGCAGGACTGGCCTCGGGGGCAAAACTCTCAAAGAGATTCCAAATAGGGGATCATTTATATTGAGATATACTATTTTTTTCTAGCAGTTTCATCTCCACCAATAGCAGGTCTTTGGTAAAGTTAAAGGGTCCTGCTCACTCAAGATCAATACTCTCCCAAATACTTTGAATTATAACAGGCATTGCTTTGTAACAATACACTGCTGCTGGGCAAAACAGTTTCTCTTCCTTCTAACTTTGGAGATGAATTCACAGGGGATGCCAAGCAAGGAGGGGCTGTCAGATGAACTCACAGTCCCCACCATAAATAAATAAATAAACAAATAAATTCGGGACTTTGATTCTATGATTCCTGATTCCCAGCCCCACTACACAATTTGTGTTCTGGGTCTCAGACTACCCTGAAAATTGTGTGAGTTGGTATGCTAACAATTTAGATTCTTGGCATGACACTGAAGGCCAATTCTGGGCTCGCACTCATCAAGCATGCCTCCCTTGCCTTCCAACATGCATGTTAAAAATTTTACTGGAACAGCTCTTGCATCAGAAGTGTATGAATTAAGCTGAATCCTGGAACCAGAATTCCTTAAATTCGTATAACCTGGTGGGAATAAAAATGGTGTTTAATTTAAACACAAACAGAGAAGTGTATAAAATTTAGGGAGTAAGATGGGGGAGTATGTGCCTTCTCTCTCCAGCCATTGCTGTCTCTGAAGATATGAAAATTCTGTTTGCCAAATGATAATTTTTGCCATATTTTATTTACAATATGGATCAGCAAATAAAATAAAAAAGCAAGGTTCTCTCACTTGATCAAACACACACACTCACACACAAAAGTGGATATACCACAGCCCTATTATTAGGCAGAGTGAGACAACTGTTTCAGGGTAGTAGGAACCTACTGGGAATACATCTTATAATACATCTTATACTACAGAGAGAACTGTAAATGGTTGCATTGTATGTTACCTGAGTACACAAATCCTAAATTCTGCAAACTGAGAGATTGGGGGGGGGGGGGGGGGGGAAGAGAGAATGAAAACAGAAACCACAAATATTATAATCAAGAAACTAAAGTGTAGTACTGCGATGGAAACAATCACAATAATAAAGACTAGGGTCCAAAACACACTGCAGAAATAATCCAGTTTGAGACCACTGTAACTGCTCTGGCTCAATGCTGGGGATCCTGGGGATTATAGTTCATTGTAGCACCAAAGCTCCCTGACAGAGAAGGCTAAATGTCTCACAAAACTTCAGTTCCTAGAATTTCCTAGCATTAAGCCAAGGCAGTTAAAGCAGTCTCAAACTGGATTATTTCTGCAGTGTGTTTTGGGCCCAGGTAAGCAGCATATTTGGAAATAAAGTTTAACTCACAGTTTACAATTCTGAACTCTTTCTTCAGTAGTGTATCATCACAAGGAACGACAATCTTACTCCCACCCCTTCACAAAGACAGCAGCACCCGCTAGGTGCAGAAATACACCTTAGCTTTGGTTGTTGCATATGTCTCATGAAGGCACCACAATTATGGATTTCCAATTCTGAATACTGCCTTGCCTATGAATCTTCATCCAATACTGCTCTTCCTGTTTTCAAAGAGTGTAACCTGGTCTTAAGAAGCATTTTACTGGTTCCTAAAGAGAAAATATGTCACCAATAGTTTTATGATGTACTTACAATTCTTTTCTGGAGAGCCCTAGTGCAGTTGTTCAGGAGAATAGACTGGAGAATGCTCAATAATGCAACAAACTAGTAATCCTAGGGTTGCCTGGGGTACAGCCATGGCAACTCAAGTGGCATCAAAGTGCTATAACTGTGCAGTGTGGCTACAACTCAGATCTATGACTGGAAGATTCACTATCACTTTAGTGAAACAAGAGGCTGAGAGGCAAAGCTTTTATATTTCCTGGAGTTAACACAAGAAAGTGCAAAGAAAGGCTTACTGCTGAACATAAAACAAACAAACAAACAAACAAACAAACAAAATGACCACGACAGATCTACATAATGTGAACCTAAATAATGAGGAAATCAAAATAGTTAAAGATTTCCCGTACCTTGGATCAAATAGTGATCAAATAGTGATCAAAATGGGAACTGCAGTCAAGACATCAGAATAAGATTAGGAATAGGAAGGGGAGCCATGAAAGAACTAGATAAAATCCCAAAGAGTGAAAATATACAATCAAGCACCCAAACCACTGTACTGTGTATACATGGGGGATCCGTTCTGGACACTCCGCTCCACATATGAAAAAACCACAGGACCTCAAGTCCTGTTGATTCTAATGGTGGTGTGTTGCTGTGTGCACACTGCGCACATGCATGCCATTTTGTCCCCCCAGGCTTGCTGTCTATGTGACCTCAAGTATGGCAAGCCCATGTATGGGGTGGGCGGACTGTATTTCCCATCAACATGTAAGGATGTGAGAGTTGGACAGTGAAGAAAGTGGATAAGAAGAAAATCAACTCTTTTGAGATGTGGTGCTGAAGAAGAGTGCTAAGAATACTGTAGACGGTGAAAAAGACAAACAATTGGGCCGTAGAACAGATCAAGCCCAAACTCTCCCTGGAAGCCAAGAGGATCAAACTGAGACTGTTGTACTTTGGCCCCATCATGAGAAGACAAACTCATTAGAAAAGGTAACGATGCTAGGAAAGGTAGAAGGTAGCAGAAAGAGAGGAAGACAGCACGCTAGATGGCTAGACTCGATCAGGGAGGTCGCAGGAATGAATCTGCAGAACCTGAGCAGAGCAGTGGAGGACAAGGCTTTTGGGAGAAGTCTCATCTACAGGGTCGCCATGAGTCGGGATCAACTCCAGGGTAGTTAGTAATAACAGACTCAAGTACCATAACTTTAATTTTAAAAAAAGAAATGTATGTACATACAGCACTTGATTCATACTATGCAAGACTATTGGGAAACAGTATTTATGCTGGTCTGAGAGCTTTTTTCCACTATTGTAAGTAGAGGGCAAGGCCAAATTGATGAAGGAACCATTACACTGGGCGTGCTCATAAGTCAAGGTAATTCCTTTCACAGGGCAGGAACTGAAAATCTGCACTCTATTTGTAACCAGGCTCAATGTACCAGCTGCTCGCTTCTGGAACATTTTTTGAACCCTGCTGCCAAAGTGGTTCTGTGACTCACATTCCAGCTGCACACAACAAGGACTGCATCCTTTTAAACACCCTTTTTAATTAGTGTAGAATTAATCACCTTCTTGTTCTGCATGCACTGTTGCAATGTCAGGTAAAAAAAAAAAGCTCTCTCCAAGCCAAGATCCTTTTAAATAACTGAATAAATAAATTAGAGGTATAGGGAAGAACATACAACATCTCCTGAATGCAAACCTGTGCCTTGCCAATACTTCCCGGTTGCAAGATACAGCTAAACCAGCCAGAAGATAGCCAAGATCTAACATCACAGCTGAATAGCAAGTGGAGCTGAATGGCAACATTGTGCAATTGAGCCAAAACACCAAATTTGCAACCCAATGCACATCCATGTGTAATGGCATCATATGCACAACTCTTGCTTCTGCAGC